TCCGCTTATCCGGAGTCGGGTCGCGGGGGCAGTAGCCTAAGTCGAGAGGCCCAGACTTCCCTCTCCCCAGCCACTTGGGCCAGCTCCTCCAGGGAATTACCAAGGCGTTCCCTGGCCAGGTGAGAGACGTAGTCCCTCCAACGTGTCCTGGGTCTTCCTTTAGGCCTCCTACTTGTTGGACGTGCCTGGAAAACCTCACCAGGGAGGTGTCCAGGAGTCCTCCTGACCAGATGCCCAAGCCACCTCAACTGGCCAAGCTAACATATCATTCATAAAAAGTTATAAAATGTAATATGCAATCAAATATTTAGAAATCTACTTAACTCATATTTTAATATATTTTCAGTAGTCTCTAGTAGGAATGAATGCCTGTTAAGTCGTTCTCTGGGGGAATAAAGTTCTGGTGTGCCTGTTTGAGGACATAGAAGTCAGCCAGAGGAGAAAGTGGCAGAAGATGGCATGATTGAGTCTTACTTCCTGATATCTCTTCTCTGATTGGCTAACAGCAATGTGACTCTACCACTGACTCTGTTTCTCTGCAACGTTGATGTTTTATTTCCACAAATAACACAAGCCTGGAGGAGTTCTGCTATGCATTAGAGTTGCTAATGCTAATAGTTAGCTTCTACTAGTCAAGACATTTTCTGCTGTTACCTGGACACTGAACCAACAACAGTCTGCCCTGTCGCCAGCCAAGATGGGTGAGTCCATGAATGTTTAAGTGACAGTAGAATATAGATCAGTCAGGCTTTTCTGAGCTGAGCGTTTTTTCTGTCTATTTTCTATCAGAGGCTAATGCAGGAGATATATGTAGGAGAATATTATAGGTGTAGGAGAGTGATTTCACAGTCAGCCTGTATGTTGAACTCAAAGTGACTGCTCTTTTTTAAAATAAGTAAAAATTGATTTCACAGTGAACCTGTTCTTTAAACAAAACCTCAGACAAGTAGTCTGGCATCAGTAAACAGACATTTCACGCACATAAATTGCAACATTTATGGAAAGGCGTCTTTTTCCCACTGTGAAGCACGGTGGGGGAAGTGTTATAATTTGGAGCTGTAACACCATCTCTCTAATTTTCTTTAATTTATTACCAATACTTATAAAAGATTTGAGACAAATAATAGTTGTTGAATATTTTTATTTCTATTTGAAAGATTTACAAAACTGCAAAGCAAAAAGAAACTTAATTATAAAAGGATCTGAGGTCAAGTGCTCTTTCACCTTTTAAATATGAAATCTGTTTTTATCTTTGTTAAATTATTTGATTTTCTTTCTAATTCATGGAGTGTGGTATGCACTCACATTATTAGTCACATGTATTACCCGTCCTTGATTTTATTTCTTATTTTTACAGAAACCTTCCCCACTGTTGGCGACGGTGGCACAGGAGTTAAGTGCTCGCCCCGTAATCGGAAGGTTGCAGGTTCGAGCTCCGCTCAGTCTTTCTCTGTCGTTGTGTCCTTGGGCAAGACACTTAATCCACGTTGCCTGCTGGTGGTGGTCGGATGGACCGGTGGCACCAGTGCTCGCAGCCTCACCTCTATCAGCGCGCCCCAGGGCAGCTGTGGCTACATTGCAGCTCATCCCCACCAGTGTGTGAATGTGTGTGTGAATGGGTGAATGACTGATTGTGTTGTAAAGCGCCTTGAGGGGTTCCAGGACTCTAGAAGGCGCTATATAAAACACAGGCCATTTACTGTTGTATTCAAGTATTTTAGGACCTTCTAATTGCTTATTTGTCTGAGGCTCACATGAAGCACAATCACAGCTATGACTCAGGTGAAACATGAAAAATTAGAATATTGTGTGAAAGTTCATTTATTTAATTAGTTGAACTTCAAATGTGAAACTAATATATGAGATAGATAGGTTCAATATTCTGGATTCAAAGTGTCACTCGTATCAGTTTGTAGGGGTTGGTAAGTCTAGTGCTTTAAAGCCTAATTTATTAGCTCTACTTATGACCAATAAGCTGTGATACTCTATATAAATATAGAATATCAACCTGCTTGGTCTTTGGATGTTTAATCAGAAGATTCTAGGATTCTTTGTTTATTCAGGGATAGTAGAACACTTCATCTTAATTCAAGGAAAGAGTCAGGTTTATAAAAAGTAAATTTATTTTCCAAACAATTAAAACATGACAAGTTAACTAATATTACTGTGATGGATGGATCTAAGTGGATGAAATGTGATGTATGGTGTCTATGTGTGAATGTGATTTTATCTATGTAACGTGAGGAAATATGGGTTTTCTGTCACAAAGGTGGTGTTGGACTCAGCTGGGTCAAAGCTGGGTCGCTGAGAACTTTCACCCACAGATAAAGACCTGAACGCCAGCGAGTCTGGGAGGAAACCATAACATCTGCCACCTGCAGCGTCCAGAAGACGTGTTTCCATGAGTTGTACCCAGAACAAGTCAAAACATAAAGTTTAAACTTCCTTTTCTTGTTTTGAATGTTAAAAGTTTAATCATCAATTTGCTCATTATAAATGTGTTTTAATCAAATGAATGATTCTTAGGCTTTGGGTAATTATAAGAGATTAATGAATCCATACTTAAATATATTTATGTTTGAGGGTGTTTGTTATCGACCTTCACACACACTCAAGCACACACACACCCACACACAGATTCTCACAGTAAACTCCAAACACATTTGCTGACGCACATGTTTTGCTTTGAGAGGAGAAAGGCTTTTGGTAAGTTTCAGTCTTATGATTTCAGTTCGTGCTTGACAACAAAAGAGAGAGGACGTGTGAACAACCGCTGAAAGGGGGGGAGCCGGTTGGCTCGTTTCTTCCCCCCCTTCTCTCACGCTGTTCCTGCCAAGCCAGGCAGAATAGCTGAATCGCAACTTCTAACGCAGACTCATTACCGAGTCTTTTGATTTCTGAGTGAATTAACTTAAGAAAGCGCATCGACAAAATGCTCTACCATCCACGTGTACCGAGGGCAACTCTGGACCAGTTCCGTTCGACACCTACGTCTCCTGTCAGCCGCCGGTGTCATCTGGATGAACCACAACATCCTCCACGGCCCGGATCCGAAAGAGGGTCCACAAGAGTTCGGTGAGACAGAGCACGGTGTTTAGCGTTTGATGCAGTTCTCTGATAAGACCTAAGTTTATCCAAACCATCACTTCACTCAGACACCTGTTCTTCCTGAAGCAAAATCAGACTCACACACGCATCCATCTCACCTCATGTTCAATCCTCACGACTTTGCACACCCACGCATCCATAACCACATCCTATTACTCTCAATCTTCATTCACCAACAGAAGGTCTATTTGAGTAAGAACAGCATATCAACTGTTAAAGATTGTCCCACAAGTTGCCAATGTTGATTGTTATTTCCTGTTTGTCAATTTCAAAATCATTAGTTTAATTTGAAGAATTAAAACTTTTAATTGTCAAACTGGTTTCCTCATTGAACTGAAACACAGACACACAGATATTATCGTCAGTTTATCGATGAAAACAACCTTTGAGTCTTCTTAACAATATAACTGAGTAAAGACAGTTTCTCCTTACAATATGGCTAAGCCAGCCAATTCTCTTTACAATATGGCTGAGCCAGCCAATTCTCTTTACAATATGGCTGAGCCAGCCAATTCTCTTTACAATATGGCTGAGCCAGCCAATTTTCTTTACATCTATAAGAACTGGGTTCTGGGTGTCAAAGGGAATAATTTGTTTTGCGTTGAGCTATGAAGTTGATTCTTATCAAAAAGGCATAAGACACTATCTGTCATATCTACGTACCCCAAGTGGAGACTCTCTTTTGGATTCGAGATGTCAGGGGGTCGGGTGACCCCAAGGTATTGAAGTCCGCAGGAAACCCGCAGTACTACCAGGTCAGTCCAGAGTCGTCTCCAGGTCACGACAGGTTGTAACTAGTTTGCGTCTCTAATGGATTCTTAAGTAATCTTGCATCAGCTTTGTTCTGCAGGAACCATTTGCTGTGTCAGCGGTAGGCAACTTTGAACAGGGTTTTGGCAGCTTGCCAAAAATGCTCAGGGTTAAAGAGGCTTCGCTCCGGACGGCTGTTCCGTAGCGCTCTCTAGAACTGAATGTTGAATGATGGAAAGATGGAATGCGACTGCTGAATGTGATTCTGTTTTAATATTATCATTTTATGATTTAATTGGCCAATCGGAGCGTGCCATGTAAAGCGATGTTACCAAGAAAACCTCAGACATCACGCCTTCTTGAGATGCCGGATGCTCTGATCTGGGTAAAGAAACATCTATGTATGAGTTTAACTTAACTTTTTGTCCTTGTGTTTTGGTGCAGGTGACAATTGCCTTGTCATTTCAAACATTACTGATTACTGATAACCATACATATACAAATCAATCTATGTAAAAATTCATTTCATACTTTCAGTAATTCAAGATCATTGAAACGTTATTATTGGCCATATAACATCTGTTAATTTCATTTTATGAATGATCAACTCATATAAGCTGAAGCAGTCCTCCTATAATAGAGAGTGGGCACTCCTGCTGTGTTATCAAAGAAGGCTTTGTTTGGGAACACAGGCTGAAAACGTGTTCCTCCTGAAATGTCAACAAGGTTGCAGTATCCTTCTGGGCTTTTAGGAAGATAGAGTGTAAAATCCACCTTAGAGAATAGAATTAGGTCTGCAGATGACCAGTGGCATGTAGGTCAATATGTAGGTGAAAATTGACCATTTCTGGACATTACAAGTTTATTCATTCAAAACACCTGCAGAGGGTTCCTGAGCCTTTAGATGGTATCTCAGTCTAAGTTTAATTACTAAAATAAACAAACTTTGCAATTTATTCTCATTTTTTTAAGTTTCACATGTAAGCTCCACCCACCCAGCCCACCCTATTCATCCTCCTCCCCTCAGGCAGAAAAGTTAAGCAGCTTGACACAAAAACAGCTTTGAATTTTAAACTCTTGCATGACTCATACACTAACTAAATGTTTATTTACCTCTGTTATTAATCGTGTTTTGGTCTCACCTGCACATTTTGTTCTGGCGCGCAGAGGAGGTCCAGGAGCTCCGGTGCCCCCATCCAGAGGCCTGGTCAGCAGAACGCTGATCTCGTACTCAGTGTCTGGATCCAGGTGGCCGATCTTGTGTGTGGTCTTATCGACGGGCTGCAGGTCATACATGGTACCCGACACAGTGCGGTACTCCACCTGCCGATCAATGATTGGACCGTCCCCATTGATGGAGTTGGCGTTTAGCTGAATCCAGAGGTATGTAGCTCCAACAGCAGTCAGCTGGGGTGGTGCAATGGGAACTGGGGGCTCTAAGGGAATAAGTTTGTCAGATATTAGAAATGTAAGCAATAAGAGTTCAACGGCATCAGTCTTGAAAATAATTATGTTTTAGTTTGTACAAAAATGAAAAAACTAAACTGATTAAAAACACAAAGAACATTCAATGTTTGCTTTTAAACAATCAACCAGATCAAAAAACTAAAATACTACAAAGAATGTCTTCTTTTTTCCCAATAATCAAGGTATTCAAACATGAGCCAATCAATAGCTTCAACTTGATGAATAGAATATCTCACCATCGTCCGTGCAGCGAGTCATGCAATCAAACGTGTTTTTAAAGACAACAAGAGACTTTAAAAGGAAGTGTAAGTGAGACGGACCAGAGCAGATTTTCTACCTATTGAACATTGTATTGATTTCAATCAGAGGACTCCTTTTGAAACTTTTCAAGCTATTGACAGCTGCTGTGTTTGTCACGTTTTATGTCAATTCAGAAGCTGGTTTGAACCTTCAAATCATGACTGAGATAGATTTTTTTAATGTAAATGAAAGGATTGGTTAGAGTTAAAACATAAACGTGTCCTTTTGAGAGACTGCTGGTAAAAATGAACAAAAAAAAGTCAGCTAACAAAATAAGTCACATTTTTCTTAAAAACATTTAAATAATTTATTCTCTGCAGTTTGTATTGTTTAGCATTATCAATTATTTATATGTGAAATTAATATAAACATTTAAGTTTTACTTACATTTAAAATATTTATTTAGCAGTTATTTGTGTTAGAAATGATGTCGAGAACGGCTGTTTTACAGATCGAATGCAGAGTAAAAATCTGATTAATGCAGAATCTTTCAGACCAATCAACTTCAGATCAAGTCCAGTAGATGCAATTAATGTATTTATTTACTTTTGCAGGACATTTAAATGCAATGTCTTTTTTTATCAAACCAAGAGTAAAGCAATTAAAAAACACTAAAATAAAGTTTGTTGTATCACCGTAAAAATCAGATCATCTTGCATTGTGTAATGTGTCGTGTGTTGGTAAATATTTATTTTAAATTATTCATATACATAATGTGTAATTAGACAAAGAATCAAAGTAAACATTGAAGTTGGAACTAATGTAAGCCCCACCCCCTCCAACTGACTGCAGTATAATTTATTTAGCCCCGCCCCTCCATGTAAACCCATGTGTTAAAAATGAAACTACACCTCATGATTCTCTCCAGGAGTTGATTTGATTTAGAGTTGATTTCTGCTTATTCACATGGTTTTTCTACATGAATAGATATTATTTCTATAAAATTTCGCAATGATTAAATACAGTATTTGGTGCTAATATTTCAAGCTCTGATTGTTTGCGGAGAAGTGGGCAGGGCTTTCAAATCTAATCATGACTTCCTGGCAGGCGTTGAAAGGGAATATTATATTTGTTAAACAACAAAAGTAGCTAGAGACACTTTGCTCATGTTTATCAATCAGTGTTAGCACTGGCGGTTTACTCTAAAAACTAAACTCAAACACAAAAGTGAGTGCAAAAATGTCCAGCAACAAAGATAAATAAAACTCTATAGCTGTTAAATATTTGTAGATTTGAAAAGATGCATCTAACAACAAAAAACTCTGAAATCTACACACTGTGTGACAATTGTGTTTCAATGTGAGACTCGTAAGTGTTGTTCTGCAGACCGAACTGTCCAAGTGTCTGCTGTAGCTCTGCTCTGATTATTATAAATATAAATACTCGTTTTTTACACACACACACACACACACACACACACACACACACACACACACACACACACACACACACACACACACACACACACACACACACACACACACACACACACACACACACACACACACACACACACAGAGTTTTTCTCTGCAGTCCTGCCAGATAAACGTGGTGCTAAATGACAACCTCGAACATGACCTTATCTCTTTTATGTCACAATATTTGTCTAATCTTGCTTAAACCTTGTGCCATTTCTGATTTAATGAGATTTCTTGAAATGTCACACAAATTAGGCCTGCCTTGGGGATATTTTTCAGGATTGTTTTTTAGACACTATAGACAGCTGAAAGGTAACATTTACAAGATTGTTAGTGGAATCTTCTGAGGTGTGTGGAAGTAGCCTTTATTCTCAGTGAAGAGTGGCAGTTCCTGCATCTCCAATGTTTTTGAACTTTTTGCTTAATGCATTGATTTGGTTCGTTTATAGATCCAACTAAACAAAGGCTCTCTCACATATTTTAGACTTTTTTGACATTGAATCAACAAAAAGCTTAGATTTACAGCTAACAACAGTTCTAATATCTTGTTTATTTTTCAGGCATCTCACAGGGGTGCCCAGTCCTGGTCCTGGAGGGCCAGTATCCAGCGTGTTTAAGGGGTTTCTCTGCTCCAACCCACTAAATTCAGTGGTTGAATCACCTGTGCAGAAGCTCATCAGGCTCTACAGAAGCCTATTAATCACCTGTCCTGCTGATTGAAATCAATTGTGTTGAAACACACATGCTGGATATCGGCCATCCAGGATCAGGATGGGCACCCCTGCAGTAGAACGACATGGCCAACAACATGTCCCGATGTCCCTAAACTCCTTCTAATCCAAGCTGACAACATCACCTAAAGCGAACCAACTAATCCACGTTGAACTAGTCTGCATGTTGGATCATGATGTAAAAAAAAAAGAGGTCCAAAATCTGGGTTAAACCTCTGGCTTGATCCGATGGCCTTTTATGGTTGGTTGTGTCTGTCGATGGGTTTAATGAGTTAAGCAACAAAAGAAACACTTTCTAGCAATAAGACGCATCTCTGCCTCCATTTATAAATATCTCTTAACGAGGAGACTGATAAATCCAACTTCCAAAGGACACAAAGAAAAGGTTTCTTAAGCTATTCAGGTTTTTCTTCTTTTCTTTAAAAAGATAAACAATAGCATAAAAGCACCTCAGCCTTTTAAAATGTGTTGGTTTTTTTTTTGTTTTTCTTTATTTGGTGAACAATCTTTTTTTCGCCCCAAGAATTATCAAATTTGTAGCCTCTCATAATATTTCTGAACAATAAATAGATCTGACAGGATGTCATTCTTGCAAATTGCCGTTTAAGTAAGTTTTTATTTTTATAAATAGATTTAAATCATAAGAATCGCATGTTACAAGAAGTTAGGGAACAATAAATCCATCTGAGATCAACAACATATTCTTACCCACAAATAATCATCATGATTCAACTAACAGAGCTTACTGGCACATTTACCAGCATACTCATTGTGCATTACTGTCGTATGATGCATCAGACCAAATGGCTCTGAAAATATCATCACGTTTCCTGCTGCTGACTCACCTCCGCCTGGTTAACAGAGGCCACGCACACAAAATAATACAAAATGATTTAAGAGCAACTTTGTTGGAAAACGTCAACTTATGAGGAATCCTACCAAACCTCAGAGCTGATCATGTTGGCATTTCTGCTGTTTAGATGTATTTTGTTGTTGCTTAAAAGTTCAATAAATCCAATCTGAATCATAACAAATAAGTGTTTAGTTAAACTCTGGAAAGTTACTGTTTCAGTAAACAACAGCAGCTTACTGGGGTAATTTCTGTAGGTGCAGTAATTCTGTGCTCAGCCCTAGCAGAAGCACGGCAAATAAAAGCGTACTGGTGTGAAAAACACTCAAGTTCTTAAACACCTCAGAATATTAACAACTCTTTTCTCAGTGTGCAAGCCTCCTTCGACAGCTTCACAGCAGCGAGGCCTCAGAAAGGTGTTCGCATTGAGATCGGCATTAGCTGGAAGTGGTTGACGGTGCGCAGATGACAGCGGTAAACCCAGGGTCAGTGAGCAGCTGTTGTCATGATGCTGACCAGACAGGCAGACGGCCCAGCGACAGCTGCGTCTTGCTTCAGCTGCCTGCCATAACAGAGGCGCACAAATGCATGCAAACACACATACACCAGAAAAATACTCACGCACAGACTTGTACCTGAACCTGCAATTATACCATCATAAGTGCCATAAAACTGGGACGCCAACTGCAATTACAGCCATTTTTCAAGATTAAGTGATTTTTCTTTTACAGTATGAAGTTCCAATGAAAATATTAAGACCATAATATTTCTTTGTTAACCCTAAACATACAGGAACAAACTCGAGAAATTAGAATATTGTGCAGGCGTCCATTTATTTCAGTAATTCAACTTAGAAGAAACCATCTAAAGGCTCAGAAACCCTTTTCAGGGGTTTTGGATTCATTAGCTGATTAGAGTGTGACACTTTGAGCCTAGAATATTCACACTTTTCACAATATTCTATTTGTCTGAGATTTTGAATTTGGGTTTTCATGAGCTGTAAGCCACAGTCTCATAGATTATTAACCTTTTAAGTTGAATAACTGACATGAATTAACTTTTAAGAGATTTTCAAATTTTTCAAGATTCACCTGTATTCAGATTACAAAACTATTTAAAAGTGAAAAAAAATCACCTGCATTTTTACTAAAAAGCAAGTAAAAACATTTTTCATACTCATTTATACGCTACTTGCATATATCAGCTGCGACTGAAGGTGACAACTTTCCTAAATGTCCTAAGTATATCAATATTTGTGGACGAAATTTAATAGATCAAGATGCAGGATCCAATTCTCTCATTGCTGGGCTTTTATTCCATCCATCCATTTTCATCCACTTATCCGGAGTAGGGTCGTGGGGGTAGCAGCCTAAGCGGAGAGGCCCAGACTTCCCTCTCCCCAGCCACTTGGGCAAGCTCCTGTGGGGGAATCCCAAGGCGTTCCCTGGCCAGCCGAGAAACATATTCCCTCCAGCGTGTCCTGGGTCTCTCTTCAGGCTTCATCCTGGTTGGATGTGCCCATTACTTCAGCAGGGAGGCGTCCTAACTAGATGCCTGAGCCACCTCAACTGGTTCCTCTTGATGTGGAGGAGCATCTACTTCTAGCCCCTCCCAGATGGATGAACCTCTCATCTTCTTTAAGGGAGATTTACTGTTTGTATTTGCAGCCTTCTAAATTTATTGTGTCTGAAAGTACAAGAAAATCAAGATACCCTCCGGAAGGGTTGGTGAAGAAGCTGCAAGCACGAGAAGGAGCGATCGCAAACAAATAAGACTTAAAGACAGTTTGTGACTAAATTGCAACAGGAAATTTTGCTCAGTTGTTGCAGCTTTTTGTGTGTGTGTGTGGGGGGGGGGGGGGGGGGGGTATGTGAAAAACTTCTTGTAAACATGTCTTATGTTCCAGATCAATGTAATACCAGACAGAAATCTGCATATTTTCTTGCAATCTTGTTTGTCCGACTAGTCGCCAACAGTGACAGCCTAGTGGGATCCTGGCTTTAGAGCAAACACACAGCCCACATTCGTTTTGTCCACCACACAGAGAGCAATAATAAGAGCTGCCACTCAGTGCCGAATTTAGATTAGCTTGACTTCAGTGTTTATAAATCCATCTTCCATTTGGCCGTTACGTCCACTGAGCCTCTTGCTAAGATGCTCGAGCCACTCATTATGTTGGGCGCTTTCCTAATTGGGCTGCAGCAGCTAAAAAATTGATCTCCTCCTGATATGAGAAAAGGTGGAGGGGGGAAAACGAAGAGCAGGACTGGTCAGACTTAGATTTTTGGTGGCTTTTCTCATTAGCGCCGACATGTCTGCAACCTTGACATCCTTCAGTTGGCCCAGAGCACAACTTTAGAGCTCAGCGAGAGCTCCAGGTGATTTTAACAAGCCCCCAAAATAGAAAAAACACAGCCAGGGAATAATTATCCTCCTTTCAAAACCGCTGGCTGCACGGCAGGAGAGCTCATCAACACGGGTGTGAAGGGGTCCTGCACTGGGCCTGTCTGCTCAGAACTCTGGAAATACATGCAATGCTCTTGCAATACAGGCGCATAAATCTGACAGAACACTAGCATGAAAAGCAGAAGTGATTATCTGGGATAATCAAGCATTCATTCTTCTTCTGTTGAGGAAAAAAGGCAGCATATGATAATGAGGGGAGGGCTCGTAATCCACAGAAACCACTCCACCGTCACTCCTCCAAACCGAGTCACAGACGTGGAGAATGCATATTCAGAGCGGGATTTACGGCTCAGATCTGCTGCTAGTTGTTTTATGACTCGTATGATAAGAGGAGATATCAGATTTTATGTGCGGCACTTACAAGTGTGAAAACGCCTTTTCCTCTCTGAACGAGTCGCCTTACGTCAAAGTCACCGAGGTGTGAAACCTGCTTGGAATTTAAATTTAAATTGGGGTGAGTTATAAGCACTAACCACGCTAACTAATTTGTAACATGTTTAAAGCAAAGATCAGCAAAAATATTGCTTTGCAGCATTTGTGAGGAAGCAATTTAGCAGTCGTGTTTATGCACAAGTGTTCTCCTCCAGTGCCCCCAGTTTGTCAGTAAATTTTCTGAGTACACCGCTGAAACCCACTGATACACGCAGGCAGAGAGACTTTATCTTCCTCTTACACTCTGCTGTGTCTGGGCCCGGCCATTCGCGCATGATTGACAGACCTCGATCTGGACAGGCAGGATTAAACCTATCAATCACATAAAGCTTAGAGACAAAAAAGGGAAGGGTAAAAAAAATTCAGGCAGTAAATCCAATTGAGAGCACAGGGAGAAAATTGAGGTGAAGAAATATAGAAGGCCATTACTGGGCTATAGGGCCATCGGAAAGAGAGGCCTTGCAAGATTTAGCTTTGGACGACTCCATAAATTCATATCAAATGACTGCAGGAGTGAAATATCAGAGGTTACTGTAAACCCTGCTGCCGCTTGCCTTTGTGATCTTTTAGCTGGAATTGTGTTCAATCAAGGACAACCTTTAAAAGGGGAAGTATTAAAGTCTTGCAGATAACAAATCAAACAAAAAAAGCTTGTGTTTTCAGTGCACCATCAGAGGACGTTTTCATTTAAAAAAACACGCCGCGTTTCCTGTTTATCTCCTGTTATGCTGGATGGAGGTCATGTGGATGGAAAACAGCCCAGCGTTTAGTAGCTTGTGTTTTAGTTTTTATACGCTCTGGAACCAATACTCACGTTTTATGGTTAGTTCGCCATAATTGGACACTCCAACTCCTTTGTCTGAGTGGACAATGCAGCGGTAACGGCCCGAATCGCCCTTGGTCGTGTTCTCTACGTCGAAAGTGCCTATGAAGCGGCGGTTGTTCCAAGGTTTAGTGGCTTTCATCGGGGCCTCCCGTCCACCGATGCCCTGTTTGGACAAACAGACAAGAGAGACTCAGAAAGGTTCAGTAAGGAAAAACGCCTGACCTTGTGGGTTTTTAAAACTCCGGTTCAGGGTACTCGTTTGCTCTTGTGACGGTTCGTGTCCGATCCATCCCATTGGTGGATGATTGTAGGAACACATTTATCACTCTCTCACTCACTCACTCACACACACACACACACACACACACACACACACACACACACACACACACACACACACACACACACACACACACACACACACACACACACACACACACACACACACACACACACACACCGTGGGCTCTCCCCAGCTGTCACCCCTCACAGCAGGCAGATGGGGGACATTTGTTCATTAGAAATATTTCTTCATTACTGTCATCGGGGGACTTCACTTAATGTTTGTTTTCCAGCTCCTGTGCTAATGAGGATGTGTTTGTTAAAATGATGGAGTACCTGGCAGAAGACCTTTACCCAGCATCATGCTCGCGCTGATCACATGTGTGACAGTGTGCTTAGCAGCCAAGCCAGCAGGGTTGTGTTTGCCAGATGCACTACCTCTGCTGCTCAGAACAAGGTCAAATCAAGACTGCTGTGCAGCTCAGTGGTGTCGGATATAGTACGCAGTATCCACATGGAGCCAGCGTCAATGTGGGTTAAGATCATGCTGCTGTGATCTGAAACAACTGTAATCCCCTTCCTCCCAGCGGCGGGGGCCTGGAAAGCTCTGGTGAGCAGGTAAAACCTCAAGCACAAGGGCAAAATAAAGGAACCAGTGTTTTAAACGGAAATGACTCACAATGTGTATGCTGTATTAGGCAAGCCATCCTATATGTGTGAATATATGTGAATATATGTTAATATATGGATCAAAATCACTTTACTTTGGCAACTGTTGGCATAGATTTCTAGGCTAGTTAAGCACATTTAAATTTACAATGTAAAATCTGCAAAACCAGTTAGCTCAAAACATTGTTTTGCACCTCTAAACAATGTTCTAACATAGTATAGCTATAAATATATTGCTGAGATAAAAACAATAAACAACTAAATAAAAAAAATAACAATGACGTGGTTCTGTTTTATGTGTCTAAAAGTCTCAGCCCATAACACAGCTCTGTCCGAAACCAACAATTAGATCATACGGTTGGCTGTCTCACCAAATCACAGCACATCCGCATTTACCTGGGTCCTCCACCCATCTTGCACTTGTGCATTTAGCAACAGAACACCACTGGTGTGAGAGGTTCTTCACTCAATATTATCAGAGAAGAAACAGCTGGCTGCTATCACTTTAAATTTAGGACAAACCAGAGTCCCAAAAAGAAAAACACCAGTTGAAGATAACAAAAGACGTTTAGACGAAAACAGTGACTGGTGTTTAGCGCTATCTTAATTCCTCTGGCAATGTTTAGGGCTGGGCGATATGACGATTTTAGACCGTTTTGCGATCTACACATCTGACGGTCTGTCATTTTTGAGAGACCGTTTTATCACGATTCACAGCTCTGCTGTTGAATTTCTGCCTCTGAATGAAAAGGGAACTTACCTCAGGCGAATGACACGCCTTTGTGTGACCCTTAACCAATCAGAGTGAGTCATAGTAATATATTAGTGCCCCGCTCGTTTTCATTTGTGTGTGAACAAACATGGCTTCGCCGCGGCTGAGCGACAACGAGGTTTTCGTTCCGAAGAGGAACGCAGGGTTTCCTTAGCGCGCGGCGCTAACAACTTAGCGACGTGACATGTTTCGGAGAAAGCGTAAAACCACGTTGGACGCTTCTTCTGAAGCAGGAAAATAACACCGCTTCTCAAGCAGAGCACGACGCCGCCTCGGCTCGTTCACCCTCTGCCGAGCCGGTGTCGGTACCGGACTGAGCTCGGTCACTGGGTCGCTGGAGCTGCCCCGTGACTGCCTGATGGAAAACCAGCGGGTTTCATCAGACTCGTAGTTTCTTGGTTTTGCTGGGGACCTCTGCATTTTACCGCTCCCTCCTGCAGTCTTCCCCCATTAACATTTAAAATGATTCTGTAAATCCCGTGTATCAATAGAAACAATCTCTGCCTCTGCCAGCTGCAGTAAATGTAGTCTCCAAATAATAAGAGGTGCATTCACCTGTGTACCTCCTTTGATCCACATTAGTGATATTCTCAGCACTAGAACAGGGAAGCAAAGAAAGATTCCTGAGTTTGTTAGTAATTTTATTTATTAGGTGCATCTAACCTGTTCTATTTTTCTCTGAAATGAGATCAAATCAGTGCTTCTATGGGTTGTCTCCAATCTGCACTGGAAAATTTTACTTTATTTAGAGACTTGTTGCAGAAAATATTCAGAATGCGCAGTTTTTTGCTACCACAAGCGATCTCTGGTCCAGCCGCACATCAGAGCCGTATTTGAGCTTAACTATCCACTACATGAGCAACTGGGAGCTACATAGTATTTTGAACAAGTTAATGTTTGCACAATACGTTTGCAATTGACATGTTTGCACTTTAAATATGTTTACGATTTTAATTTATGTTAAGTTACTTGAAAAACGAGAAAAACTGATTTTTGTAATTGTTTCTCTAAGGGCTTTAATCATCTCTGGTGTAAGTTTAAAATATAAGTGTGTTAGCACTGTGCTGATTATCTCTAATATGAATAAATGTTTATTTATTCAATGTTTCTCTTCTTTAATACGCAATTGAAGTTATGCTATTCATGGATAAAAATCGTGATAAAATCGAAATCGTGATAAAATATTGGAAAAATCGTGATATTCTATTTTTGCCATATCGCCCAGCCCTAGTTCTGATATCAGGCCAATGTGGCCAAGTGATGATAGCCAATAGGAGGGGTGAGAGTTATGTTAATGTGTTTATGTTTAAGAGCAAGCTTGTTTTACAGATTCGCCTCTGAGCTTTAATAGGCTGAATATTTTACTATCGGTTTAGATATTTTAATGTTTAGTTGAATTGTACATTTAAAGAAAAGGCAACCTGACTCTTACATTTCAGTCAAATATATGGGTTTTGCATAAAACTAGAAAAAACTGATGAAGCAGAAATCATTTGTATATACAATCAAATGTAACTATTGATTTCCAACTAAATTATGTATTAATATTTAATGCTGTCCTCATTTACTTTTTAGTACTACATTTTTGTTTTTGTCTTAATCATAACTTATTCTTAAAATAAAAAAAGACACGAATACATAAGAAATTAAACTGTTGTACTTAGAGTTTAGTGAAGCGAGTAGGTGGATCAAGAGGGGTGTTGGTTATGTTATAGCTGCTGAAATCTGATTGGCCTTTGAGGTTTGACTCTTTACAGATGAATAAATGTTACAAACTCTGGCCATTTTAACAACAAAATAAAGGCAATTCATTACATCCAATATGGATTTGATAAAATGGTGTTTTCCAGTCAGATTAACTGTTGCTGAATTCTGTCACTTTTGGTTGGTGGAACTTAGTTCCTGTCAGATTTGATCTAATTATGCTCCAAATGCAAATTAGAAAACTAATTGAATTTGCTTGTTTTTAATAATCAGGTAATCTATAAGTAAGTTTTATAAGCCTCCAAATGCTGTGGCAACATGTTCACTGATAGAAAATGCAATGTACTAAGTGTGGTAAGGAATTGCTAAGATGCAAATCAACAAAAAGATGAAATTCTAAGTGTATCACTGTAGTTATAATGTTTCACTGAAGCCTATGAAGAATCTCCAACTTTCCCAGTCAGAACTTTGATTTCAGAGGGTGTTCCGGGCTATTTTTCCAACTTGGAACTTCTGAGAAAGCACCTTAATATTCCCGATGACACCTAAAGTAAATGTACCAGGTATAAATACAACTGGGAGCATGTCTCTACAAAGTTCATAAGAACCTATATCTTCACCAAGTAACTACACATTGCTACAACAATTATAAAAAGTTACAAAATGAGAAAAACTAAATAAAAGTGTCTCTCACCTGAAGCCACAAACGAAAGTTGTCCCTTTTGCGTCCATTGACGGTGCAGTGAAAAGACGCAGTCTGTCCAGCGTTGACCTCCACTCCTTTTATGGTCAGAAAATGTGGAGTATTCACTAAAAAAATAAAAAAATTCAAAAGAAGCAGAGTTTATAAATAAATAAATAAGTAAATAAATAAATACTTTTTAATGAAACCTATTTGCCAGGAATAGTTTTTAATATCTGCACCATGATTGTTTTTATTCATTTAGTTAAAAATGTTCCTGAGAATTTCGTTACTTGCTTTGGGAATCAACGTTTAGATTATGAAAATACATCAAAATTAATCTTGAAGGTTACCATCACTTCTTCAGATGTCTGGAACTGGAAGCTGATCTTAAATCTGTTAAAGCTCTGGCTCCTGCTGTCTCTCATTTGCATCAATTTCTACAATTTAAATATTTTTAAATAAGCATTATTCTTTTCAATTTGTGCTTATTACGAGTATGTTCACAGACTAAGATAGTTCACAGAAATTAACTTATTTAGAGCATTTTTGATTAGTACTTCTTTTCTGAATACAAAAATAGGGCAATTCAGTGGAGCGACCTTGATTTGACACATAACCAAATCTCTAAAGACTTGGCAAAAGCTAATTCTATCACTTTCATCAGCGACACGTTCACTTCTACTTAATATTTTATAACCTTCTCGTTGAGCTTCCTTACAACTCTGTCCTATCAATCTGTCTGGTTCCTGAAGACAAATCAATGTTTCAACGTCTTCCTTAATGATGGGAGGAGACGAGGACCGCCCAGTGGCATAATCACACCTTTGAGTTGGATACTCCACACGGTCGTATAAATAGAAAATGAATTGGCTGTGCCTCAAAGACAAGTTGCTCTCATCGCTCTGCTTATCGCTCAGAGAAGCCCAATTGCCACGGAGGAAGATCATTGATCTGCTCACGATTGCACATTTAAACACGGACCACGTTGCAGGGTCTCATTGATTTGTTCAATCACATTTATATGCTTCACGTTTTGCCGTATAAATCCATCTCATTGACCCAACATTTGTAGGAATTCAGCCGCTTTCAAGTGGTTAGCAGGTCACTAGTGCCTTACAATTGGGAGCTGATACTAGGGTTATGACGGGTGGAGTAAAGCGTGGATCTATTGATTTAACTTGACTTAGCTTGAGCGTTGCCACACAGACTAACAAGGCTCTCTGAACTCTAAAGAAGAAATGTTGATGAGATTCTTTAATGAGTGTTTTTAAATGGATTGCTCAGATCTTTTTAAGGGGTTTCCTTTAAAAGGTTAAGAACAATAGCTGTTTCCACCAAAGGAGTTCTGGGGATTTTCTGGGAGGGTAGAAAGACTGTGCTCTCAGCCGTTCCTTCTCCATAGAAAATCCACCATTTGATGATTGTGCTAAGACGTCTTAATAGTCATCAAATGGTTGTCTGCATTGCTGTAAAGCACATTGAGTTGCCTTTGTGTAGGAAATGTGCAATATAAATAAAGCTGTCTTGTGCTGTCTTGCATATTGGGACTGTTTCGGCAGAGAGTGATGTCACTGATCAGCGCCAAAAGCCATCCATGGATAATAATCACATTAAAAGTTTGATTCTGGCAAAGTGCACCATAATTTAATCGAGTTGGAGGCATTCAGTGACCAGAAGAAATGTTTTTTATGGTGCTCTTTGTTGTCCACCAGCGGGTACGGGGGTTGCCACCATGACTGGCACCGGCCACCTTGCGACCACAGCTAGCAACAGCCGCCTCAACAATCGCAGAGTGGAACAAGGCCCACTCGGAGTCAATGTCCCCACTGCTCTCGGAACGTGGTCAAAGCTCTGCCAGAGGTGGGAGTTGAAGACCGTCTTGACAGATTCTTCTGCCAGGCGTTCCCAGCAGACCCTCACTATGTGTTTGGGTCTGCCAGGTCTATGCGGCATCTTCTCCTGCCATCTGATCCAACTCACCACCAGGTGGTGATCAGTTGACAGCTCTGCTCCTCTCTTCACTTGGATGTCCAAAACATACGGCCGCAGGTCAGATGATACGACTACAAAGTCTGTCATCGACCTGTGACCTAGGCTGCCCTGGTACCAAGTGTACAGATGGGCATCCTTATGTTCGAATATGGTGTTTGTTTTGGCCAAACTGCGGCTTGCACAGAAGTCCAAAAACGAAACACCACTCGAGATCAGATCAGGCGGGCCATTCCTCCAAATCATACCCCTCCAGGTCATGCTGTCATTGCCCACATGAGCATTGAAGTCCCCCAGCAGGACAATGGAGTCCCATGATGGAGCACTATCTAGCACTCATCCCAGGGACTCCAAAAAGGGTGGGTACTCTGAACCGACCCGAAGGCGCAGGGAAGCTACACTCTCGTCCCCCGGGGTAAACCCCAACACACAGACAGAGAGTCTTGGGTCTAACAAAAAGCCAACCCCAGCCCTCCGCCTCTCACCCGGAGCAACTCCAGCAAAGGAGAGTGTCCAACCCCTCTCAAGGACTTGGGTTCCAGAGCCAATGCTATGTGTCCGACTATATCTAGCCGGTACCGCTCAACCTCTGCCACAAGCTCCTGATCCTACCCCAGCCAGTGAGGTGATGTTCCATGTCCCAAAAACAAGTTTCCTTGTCTGGGGATCGGACCGCCAAGGCTCCTGCCTCGGTCTGCCACCCGATCCACACTGCACCGGACCCTTCATGTTCCTCCTGCAGGTGGTGGGTCCACAGTTGGATGAGCCCATGTATCCGGTTCAGGCTGGGCCTGGCCGGGCCCCATGGGCAAAAGCCCGGCCATCAGGCGCTCGCTCACGGGCCCCAACCCCAGGCCTGGCTCCAGGGTGGGACCACAGTAACCCTCCGGGCCGGGTACTCAGACTCTTCGATTGTACATCCATGAAAGATCCTCTGAACCATTCTTTGTCTCACCCTTCACCCAAGACAAATTTGTCATGGGAGACCCTACCAGGGGCACAAAGTGCCCCAGACAACATAGCTCCTAGGATCATTAGGGCATTCAAACTCCTCCACCAAGATAAGGTGACGTTTCAAGGAGTTTGGTCCGCATAGCCAGTAGTAAGTCGGACCTGTTCCCGGTGAGGGTTGGACTCCGCCAGGGCTGCCCTTTGTCACCGGTTCTGTTCATTACCTTTATGGACAGAATTTCTAGGCGCAGCCGTGGTATGGAGTGTGTCGAGTTTGGTGGCAGGATAATCTCGTCTCAGCTTTTTGCGGATGATGTGGTCCTCCTAGCTTCAACCAGCTATGACCTTCAGCTCTTACTGGGTAGGTTTGTGGCCGAGTGTGAAGCAGCTGGGATGAGGATCAGCACCTCCAAATCTGAGACCATGGTTCTCGACTGGAAAAGGGTGGCTTGCCAACTCCAGGTCGGGAGAGAGGTCCTACCTCAAGTGGAGGAGTTTAAGTATCTCTGGGTCTTGTTCACGAGTGAGGGTAGGAGGGATCGGGAGATCGACAGGCGGATTGATTCGGCATCTGCAGTGCTGCGGACGTTTAGCTGATCTGTCGTGGTGAAGAGGGAGCTGAGCCAGAAAGCCAGGCTCTCGATTTACCGGTCAATCTACGTCCCAATCCTCACCTATGGTCATGAGCTTTGGGTAATGAACGAAAGAACGAGATCGCGGATTCAAGCGGCCGAAATGAGTTTCCTCCATAGGGTGGCCAGGCTCAGCCTTAGAGATAGGGTGAGGAGCTCGGACATTCGGGAGGGACTCGCAGTAGAACCGCTGCTCCTCCGGATCGAAAGGAGTCAGTTGAGGTGGTTTGGGCATATGGTCAGGATGCCTCCTGGACGCCTCCCTGGGGAGGGGTTTCGGGCATGTCCTGCCGGCAGGAGGCCCCCGGGTCGACCCAGGACATTTTGGAGAGGTTACATCTCCAATCTGGTCCAGGAACGCCTTGGGGTCCTGCTGGAGGAGCTGGTGGAGGTGGCCGGGGAGAGGACGGTCTGGAGCTCCCTAGTTGGGATGCTGACCTGGTTAAGCGGAGGAAGACGACGCCGACGCCCGTTTTTTTTTCTTTTCCTTCTATTCTGCTTCACCAGCAGCTCTTCCAACTTTACAGATACCGGTTGTTTTGGGCGACATCTGCTGATGTCATTTCCTGCTGAGTTTCAACCGATCAGCGTGAGTTAAATAAAAGTTCCTCTCAGCAACTCTAGTGGGTCGTTCCGGGTTCCTACCCCAGCTCAAGTACTCCAATGATTCCTGAAAATGGTCCAACAAATGGTCGGCCCAATGAAGTGGAGACACACGCATGCTGCAAAGTTCCAATGAAATTACCCTGAAGTTCTGTTAGCGGAAATGCGCTTAAACTTTCTATAGAACCATAGTTGTAAAGACCTTATTTCTATATGAAAGAGAAAAATTACTCAAAATTAAAATGCCACCTAGGCGGGACTGAGCTTTGTGTTCAACTTTTTCTCAAAGGCTCTACTCGCTTTAGCAAGTCAACTATACACTCATGAAACATCAGGGAGGACTGACTAGCAGCCTCTTTGAAGGCCTTTTTTGTTTGACTCAGAAGCCTTGAACAGAACAGTGATACAGGTATTGGGAAGGGCGTCACAGAAAGAACAATGATGCTTTGATGATTTTTTTATAGTGCAGAGAAAATAGACTTACTGCATTGGTGGCCCTGGACCACAACGTCTTTGATGGCCAGCAAGCCGCGCTGCCCTGAGGTTATAGCTTCAAACACAATCTGAGGAGGAGAAAGGAGACTCATAACACCAGTGATGAATGGGCACGTGTCTTAAAAAGGCACCTGAGAGTGGGTGGGGCTGGGCATAAACACAGAAAAGTCCAGCTCAACGCACCCTGTTCTTCTGCAGGGCTGCAGCTGGTGACACAGCTGCAGGCCACCGACGTTATTTCCACAATATGTCACAGCTGACAGGTGTTATGACATGCATGTGTTAAATTAGGTTTGAGCCCTGAGATGATTAGCACATTGCGTGTGACAAAATATGGAATGTGTGTTGGAAAGACAAAAGGTCAAATTAGTTCCTGTTTATCTTTGTTCAATCGTTTGATGTCAGTTGCAGATACTTCAAAATAGATTCTCTAATACTGTAGCAAAGGGATACTACTCCAGTAAGTATCTAGGCTATAGTACCAGCAGATATTTTAGGGCATATTAAATATATGTTTGTTTAATTTTCCTCAAATTCCCAAAATAGGAAATATTTGATGAAAAAAATCCCCTAAAATTAATGCTAAAAAGGAGTTTCATTCAGCAAATCTTCTAAAAAGATTTTTATGAAAACTTCTCAGCTTTCAAATATGAATTTCTCCAAACCTTACAAAGGCAACGGTTTGAAACCATTTTCCTTTAACATGACGGAACACATTAAACATTCACCTCTCCAGCAGCCTTTAACACTGGCTATGTGTCTCCTTTTACTTGGCCGGCACGTCTGTTGCCCTCCAGCACAGTGAACTTTGACCCTATTTTAGGGGCCAAGTTCAGTTGCAAAACAAGTGGCCATGAGCTCTGAGAGAGGGTGTGTCCTCCCAGAATGTGCTCATCAGTCTGCAGTGTGGTAAAAATGGAAACAGAGTGCCAATCCCTACCCAAACCCAGGGTGTGGTGCACAGACCAATTACACCACACACTGCAGCAACACATGTTTTACATTCTGTCATTCCTGAAATATAAACCTATATCCAAATGCAACTTGTATGTATTACTGTCCAACATGTGTTCTGGTGATTCCTTCTGCGGCCCAGGAATGTGGAAGCAGAGATACTTCCCATTGTCATCTGGGAGGCAGGATGCCTTCAGATGAGACGGCCTAATTATAAATTTCTTTTTTTGTCCCATGAAATATGACAGACAAAAGCTCGGGTGCCAATTATGGCCTCATTAAGGGCTAATTTAAAGGAAATTAAAAGGCCAGCCACTCCATATAGTGCCACTAGACAAATGAACTGGCCCCAACACTCTAATTGAAATCCTTTGTTTGTGCAACAGGCATCAGTCAGCCTGCCTAATAGCTGTGATATAATTGATTCCAACATCAATGATAGTGCAGCATATAATTGGGCCTGACCCGCACTGTGAAAATATTCACGTGGGGGGAAAGCTGTTGATGTCAGACGAAAGTTCACGGTTCTCATTTGTCAGGGAGACGGACAGTAAACCCGGCGTTTAGCATCTACATCGCTGCACCGACTTTCCCTTTGGGAGCAAGTTAAGCACAGCGTTACAGCCGGATTGATTTGCTCCGTCACCAATGCCGCTACAATGAATTTCAGACACATTAGCATAAGTTATGATGCATAATTTGAATAATAAATGCACAACACATTTCAGGATTTCTGAGCGCTTTTGCATCCATTTTGGACATGTATGACCATTTCAATTAAACGTTGGATGGATACCCTGGAAGATGAGTAATTATCAAAGGTACAAAGGCTGGAGTGATGCCTAAAAGCCCTACTGGTAATTAAAAAATAATTTCTATGTGTCAGGTGGCTTCCTTTTGACGATTTCCTAGGTTGCTATGCAATTAAAGATACCTATAATTAGCACCATGTTGTTAATTAGCAACAACTCTAAGCACTGGTGTCCTTCCTTGACAGATTGTTGCTAAGATCATTAGCATGCTCACATTTACCCATGATGTCTATTTGGGTATGGAAAAATTACAAATGGAAGCAGATCTTCCACTTGGGGCTTTAAAAGTAGCAGATGCCACAAATTCTCCCAAACAACACACACACACACACACACACACACACACACACACACACACACACACACACACACACACACACACACACACAACGTGTGTGATCTTGGGTATGAACAGCTCACAATACATGCAGATTTACTTAAACATACACCACTTGTGGAAAAGTCATTACTTTATATACAGATCATCCTCTGCAAAAATCAAAGCACTTGTTCTTATTTAAATGTTGGGTTAAAACCAATTTTGGCTAACATCTCCAAAAATTTGAACACCCGGTGCATCAAAGGTTTACAAATTTTTGATTGCTTGAACATCAACTGTTGTGTCCTTGGGCAAGACACTTAACCTGCTTTGCCTGCTGGTGGTGGTTGGAGGGACCGGTGGCGCCACTGTTCGGCAGGCCTCGCCTCTGTCAGTGTGCCCCAGGGCAGCTGTGGCTACATCGTAGCTCATCCCCACCAACGTGTGAATGCGTGTGTGAATAGATGGACGACTGATTGTGTCGTGAAGTGCCTTGGGGGTTGTAGAACCCTAAGAAGCCCCTATACAAATATAGGATATTTACCTTCAACATTTTTCATCTAACCATTAGTTTATCGATCCAAACAGAACTGATCTCCATTTCTTCTGTTATATATTTCTCAAAACCTTTTACCAGGTACTCACAATAAAAGGTCCAAATAAACAATAAGCATTCACTGTTACATTTACCTTCCTCTTTTGTCCGCGTGGTTCTTATTAAAGCTCCCATGCTGTACTCAGCTGTGAGAATCTCAGCGGCATCGCTTGTTAACGGAGTTATCAGAGCGACTATGATGAGCATGCAGACGGACTCGCTTCAGCTCCAACATGGGCCAGCTCTGCCAGGCCTTAATGAAATAATGCACTGAGGGACCTGCACCCATTGGGAGGTTGAAGGGTCTCCCTGCATCAATTAACATTTGGTGGACTCGCGGAACAAACCCAACGAAGAGTAATAGCCAGGCATGTGTGAAATCACCTTGCCCCAGCCAGCAGCCATGTGCATTGGTAAGTGAAAATGAGTTTTCAGGACTGGAAAAAGAGAAGTGGCTCAGATTCTAGGGAGGGGGAGCTGATCGCCATGGATACCATGGCAGCCTAAGAAATCAATAATCCTAGGTGTTTTGAATGGGCTTTTGTGCCATTGTCTAGAGCTTTCTAATAATAATTTTGTCTTGTGCCACCCAGTGAAAAGGCTTTAATGACTTCAGATAAACTATTATGGCTGTTTATAACGAGCAGCCTGCTTCCTTAGAGACGTCTGATAAAAGACAGCCTGATTGGGTTCATCTCTCCTCACCTGGTAGAAGTTGGGCCAGTATGTGCTGATGGCCAGCTCCACCTGGCCCCAGGACCGAGAGGCTGGACCTGACACGTTCCAAACAGGCATCCCCATGGGGCTGTTGTTCTCTTTGATGTAGACGTTCAGGTGACCTGGGTGGCTGTTGTCTCTGCCTCCAATGTAGAATTGGAACAAAACACAATGGGTGTCGTTCTCCTTCAGCTGGGGTGTCAGTAGTAAAGCCTTCTGCCCCGCGAAGCGCCCTGATGTGTTCACCATCACAAACGCTGACCCTAAAAACAAGGGAAAAGGGACATTCAGTGTATTTCCAGATATTTTAGTAACAGTCCATGGGGTTTTGCAAGAATACGTTGGTGTTTGCAATTCTGCAAATTTAAGTTCTACTTCAAGCCACTAGTTGGTGCTAGTGTAAACCAGTGTCCAGGATTATTGATCTTGTCTACCACACTGCATTGCAAGTCAATTTGATAGCACATGCTAAGGCTGACATGTGGAAGTAATTATGGTTGTAAAGTGATTTTCAGAGTTGTTGGAATAACCTCTCATTTTCTCATTCTGAGGTGCAGAATTTGAGATTTTGGGGTGAAAAATCTCACATGAATTCCTGTAAAATGAACATGCATAATGATTCTAAAGATTCGGACACATTAGAACCCTAAAAACAGCAGTTTTGGTACAGAACTAATAAACGGCGAGTTTTGGACAGTTTATTTCAGAATTTTAGAATGCTGAAGGTTGTAGTTTGCAACTGCTACGCCGTCCATGGTTGTGGAAGTGAATTCATTACAATGAAGAAAAAAGCATAATGAGCAAGCACTTTTTTTTTATTAAAACATAGCATCAGTGTTATGAAGATATGTGATATTACAATTTAATTGTAAAAAAAAAATGGTTACATTATTCTGTCCTACCACCTCAGATTAGATTATTCATTTATATCCTGCAGCTTTAGACATGCAATGCCAAACCAGCCCCGCTCTCAGCTCCATTTTTGTATTTTTCAGGAGTGATGAGACACGTGACACGGCCAAGATGGTGTTTGTAAGCTCTTCAAAAACCTATGGGTAATGGCACAGAGAGTTGATCCATCTCATATATATATACAGTCTATGACTGGAACCAGTCATCAGAGGTGCTTTTGCTTCAACTCCTCAATGTCCTCCTAGATCTTGCTGCAGATGGAGTTACTGTGCATTGTTCTACTATTAGGCGCACTTTACACAAGGAGGTGCTGTATGTGAGAGTGATGCAGAGGAAGCCCTTTCTCCGCACGCAGCACAAACAGAGCAGTTGAGGTATGCTAAAGCACACTTGGACAAGCCAGCTACATTTTGGAATAAGGTGCTGTGGACTGATGAAACTCAAATGTAGTTATTTGGGCATAAAAAGAGGTGTTATGCATGGAGGAAAAAGAACACAGCATTCCAAGAAAAACACCTGCTAGCTACAGTAAAACATGGTGGTGGTTCCATCATGATGTGGGCTGTGTGACCAGTGCAGGGACTGGGAATCTTTTTAAAGTTGAGGGACGCATGGATTCCACTCATCATCAGCAGATTCTGGAGACCAATGTCCAGGAATTAGTGACACAGCTGAAGCTGCGCCAGGGCTGGATCTTTCAGCAAGACAAGAACTCTAAACACTACTCAGAATCTACTAAGGCATCCATGCAGAGGATGGACAAGTAGACGGTTCTGGAATGGCCATCTCAGGCCCCAGACCAGAATATTACTGAAAATCTATGGTGTGAGTTAGAGAGCTGTCCATGCTCAGAAGCCATCAGAGCTGAATGAACTAGAGATGTTTTGTCAAGAAGAATGGTCCAAAATACCGTCAACCAGAATCCAGACCAACATTGCAATCAATGGGAAGCATTTAGAGGCTGTTATTCTAAGGAGGAGCTACTAAATATTGAGTTATTTTCTTTTTTCATTGATGCACCTGCCTAATTTTGTTTAAAGAGCAAGTAATGCCTAAATTAACATTTTTTTTTTGCTGATAACCTGTATAGATGAGTGTCTAATGGTGCTGTACACATGTGTAATCATTAGTGTGGCAGTTTAGTGCAAGTTTACTTTAAATTTAATATTTCAGCCCAAAACCACAATTATATCTCCATCTTCAGGTTCAAACTGCTCCACATTTATTTGGAATCAGCTGTGGTTGATGGCTAAGCTGAAAAATGTGACGTTCTCAGCAAAGTACTACGTGGCTGCACCACACTGGTCTCCAGGTGAGGCAGTCGCACCTCCACCTGGCTCAGCCACTCACCTGCCGATATGACACGCCGGCTCTCTGAGCCGCTCGCCTCCTTGAAAAAATTACCCTCCTCCCCTTTTCATCTAATGATTGCGTTTAACAGGAAATCCTCCAGAATGCTGGAGAATCTGTATTTGCTTTTCTCCTGAGCGGTAAGTCTTGTGTGAGTGCATGCTTGTGTGCACGCGCGAGTACGCACGCGATCGTTAACAGCTTGTTTTCAGCACATGCAGGGGGGTTGAGGGGGGTGCGGTCTCCCACTGCCTCAGTGCCGCTCTTACAGTCCACCAGAAGATGCCTCTTTCAGAAGCGTTTTCCTAACAGGAAGTGTGGATGAAATGAGTCTCCACCCAGGCCTTGACCCTCACTTTAAACAATTATTGCACACTTTCTGTAAATCCTATAAACTTTGTTTAACTTCTCAAATATCACTGTTTGTGTCTCCTACATGATATATTTAACTGAAATGTTTTTATCTTAACAACCAACGATTTACACAAGAAAATCATGAGGATTAACAAGGATGCCTGTATTTTTGCAGCACCCATTGTGTGTGCTTTTCCTGCTCTATCACATCACAAAGCTGTCATTAAATGAGTCAGCTGTGATGGATACACGTGCTCTTCTTATGACTTGTGTTTTATTGGCTATCGTTACAAAAGTCATAAGACAACCATTCAGATATTTGGGAGAAACTGTAAACAAAGAGAACAATCTTGCAAAAGCATTGAGAGGGTAATAAACGCTTCTTCTGAGAGCTTCCTTATTACAAATCATAATTTCAGCTTGTGACCTTTGATGAGAAGATCTTATTATCTGCTCTGATTAAAGCTCTCTCATCGTTATCATTTATCAAACACAAAGACGTACAGTACATTTGAAAGGCTAATCATTGAAAATAGTGGATTTTTGAAAAGAGCGTTTTCCCTTAAATGACAGGGGGAGGGGAAAAAAAGATAAAATCAATAAGCTAAAATCTATTTGCCAAGAAAGCCCCATTTAGATTTCATCATTTAGGTTCAATATTAAAGGTTAATCTAATTCTCTACCCTCGCTCTCCAATAAAACACAAGTGAGAATTATTATACTGGCAAACCTTCAAGAGGATGCAGAACACATTCTATTTGTCATCATCTTATTTAGCTCAGCCTGGTAATGAGATGGCACCAGCATTTGAGACACAGCCACAGGAGACTCATACGTTCAGATATATTATTTTAGTTGTGTGCTAAAGAAAGAAGGGCACAGAGAGGTGAGACAAACAACCTGTAAGCAAGACGCTTGCGCTGCTGCACGCAAGGCAGAGCTAAATCTCTGTTGTGTTGTTAAATATGTGCTCCTGTGCTCAGATTTTTGCCTTAAACCAAACGAATAAAGTCAACTGAACCAGCAGCAGCCTTGAATGCAGAGTGTCAACCAAACAGCCTCTCAAACAACCCTATTTGTTCCATCAGTGACTCGAGCTTGCCCACTTGTCTTGTTGTGCTGCTCTAGTAACGCTCACCAATTCCATCTGTCTGGAGCTTCAGATAATGAGTGGGGATTCTGTCATGTTTACACAATGAAACAAGAGGAGAGGGAGCAGAGGAGGAGGAGGAGGAGGAGGAGCAGCGAGTTGAGATGACACAGAGTCGACCTGATCGGCTTTGTTTGTCAGTTCCAGACACTTGTCTTTTTAAATGATCCGTGCAGCTTTTGGGTCACCAAGAGGATCTCAGGGAATGGAGGGAAAGGTTCCGCTGTTACAGAAATCATCAGCACTGTGAGACACCAATAAGACATATCAGATGTTTGGTAGATCCTGAGTTGATATGAAAAAGCTTAGATCGGTCTAAAAAAAGTTAAATTGGACAAAAAGCAACAAAAAGATAATTTAAAGATAATTGCAGCTTCTTTGCACACTTCTGGACTTTATTTAAGACCGTCTGTCCAGGATGGAAGGGCTTTTGACTTCTTGCCTCTCAAAATGTAAAAGTCAAGCATGGGCAGCTACTTCATATCCCACTGAGCAGGCTTGAGACGTGGCCTGCTACACGACCCAAGACTTCAGTGAGTCAACTGCATATCTCCATCTTGAAGGAAATGCCATCACAAGCACACGTCGTTGAAAAATATACACTAACAGATCCCAAGACTTTTGGTGTTTTGTTTCTAATACTTTTATGCACCTTATGGAGACTTTTGATGCACATTTTGTGTTATGTAATTTAATGGAGCTGCAACCCCTTTAATTTCATAAACATAATGGCTTTCAATTCAGTTCATTTCACTTCAAGACAATAACGACGAAAAGGAAAAAGAGCTGGCGTTAACACTTCTTTTTATTACTTCAAACAAAACTCCAAAAAGGAGTGCATCCACACGTATTTGCGTGCAACTGCCATTGTTGGCAATGTTGATACCGCTACTCTCACACTGTATTCTTGTTGAAAGTTTTTTGTACATTTGAATTTTGACCCTGGTTGAAGACTTTTCAGAGACAGGATTTGGTCATGAGTGTGCTCACTAGGCTGCCGGCGGGCTGGTAACACTTGATGGCCACAGAAATGCAAATCACATTCAATTTCACTGATATTCTTCACAACTCTGTTCACAACAAAGGACTTGTCTACGATGGCTGCAAAAGGTACAGTGTGAACCGAGAATTAGACAGAGAGTTGATGCACAACAATAATTTAGTCAGTTGTTTTGATAATTGCCCGGAGGTGGGTGTGCATCGTTTTTTTCTGTGTAAGCAGAACATCTCACAAACCATGTGATGGATTTTTAACAAACTCTAAGAAAACAACCAATGGGCATTCAGGTACAACTGAAACCATTTTGCAGTCCACCAGATCCAAGATGGCTGCCACAGACAACTGACACTATAAAACACAAAAATGGTTACATATAAACACATTATACAGATATGTTTGTGTGGTTGTTACTGAGAGTTATTTACAACACATACTCCTACTGGTGACAGATGAAATTGCAACACTGCAGGAGGATGTGCGCATAAAGGGATGGTTTT